ATGTGGGGCTCCAGCTCCCCACCCTGAGATCAGAGTCACACGCTCCACCCACTGAGCCAGCCAGGCGCCCCTACCAAAGGCTCTTAAAAAGTTTTAGATACTGTGCTCCCTTTAACATGATTGAATCTCACCAGTTAAGTGGTGAGTGAAAGAAGGCACACATACACACGCACACCAGACACACACGTTCCTATGTTGTGGTTCCGTTTGGTGGGGAAGTTCAGCCACAGGCAAACGACGAGTGGAGGAGAACCGTTCGGTCTGGGCGACGGAGAGGCCGTGGGGGCACACGCTGCAAGCGCGCAAGCGGGTCCCCGCAGTGGAGACGGCCTCCCCGCTCATCGTTTGCCTGGGGAGAGGGCCGGGCGCAGGCCCAGCTCCGGGGTCCCCGAGTGTCCCCGCCCCCCGCCCGGGGTCCCCGTCTGGCGCGCGCCCCGGTGGCCCCCAGCCTTCCCCTGGGGCTCACCCTCCGGATTCTCGGGCTCTCCTCCAGAGGTGCACCTCTCTGGACCTTCAGGCTGTAGTGCGTCCCCGGAGACTCGCGCCCTGGTTGAGTCCGCCGCCTCTGGGGGCCGCGCTGCCTCCCCTCCTGCAGCCTGGGCTTTGCCGGGTCCGCAGGTGCGGCTTGGGTCAGCAGGTAGGGCCACACCCGCGGCTCGGCGGTACGCGGTGGGAGGGGCTCAGGGGCCGCGCGCGGGCTAGCCGCTCGCCCAGCCGGCCAATCCCCCTCTCCTCCGTGTTTCTTTCTTTCAAGCACATTTTGAGTAACTTCTTGGTGACAGGCTCTGTTCTGCAAACTCGGATAGGGCGCGAGGCACCAGGAAGTTCCTGATCACTAAAGCTTGCACTCTGGAGCGAGGTCCCAGGCAGTCAGTGGATAGTCTGCACTCTAAGGACATAAAAAAGCCAGGGGGTGGGGGGTAGGTGTGTGTGTAGGGGGGTGCCTGGGTGTCTCGATCTCTTAAGCTTCTGACTCTTGGTTTCAGCTAAGTCGGTTAAGCGTCCGACTTCAGCCAAAGTCATGATCTCATGGTTTGTGGGTTCAAACCCCGCATCGGGCTCTGTGCTGACAGCTCAGAGCCTGGAGCCTGCTTCAGATTCTGTGTCTCCTTTTCTGTCTGCCCGTCCCCCCCTCAAAAATAAATAATCATTAAAAAAGTAAATAATCATATATATATATTTTTTAATCCATGGGTTCCAAAGGAAACTGAAAAAAAAATTACCCCAAAGAATAACTGGACTCATTTTTTATTGTTGCAGTAAACAAGGACATAGAGTTCTTCTTTTTAAGTTTATTTATTTGATATCTACACCCAACTTGGGGCCGGAACTCACACCTGGAGATTAATTAAGAGTCTCACTCAGCATGGGGCACCTGGGTGGCTCAGTAGATTAAGCGTCCGACTTCAGCTCAGGTCATGATCTCATAGTTAGTTCTGTGGGCTTGAACCCCACGTCCAGCTCTGTGCTGACAGCTCAGAGCCTGGAGCCTGTTTCAGATTCTGTGTCTCCCTCTCTCTCTCTGACCCTCCCCTGCTCATGCTGTCTGTCTGTCTGTCTCTCTCTCAGAAATAAATGAAACGTAAATTTTTTTTAAAGGGTCTCATGCTCTTCTGACTGAGCCACCCAAGCACCGCTGAGTTCTTGATTCTGACCAAGAAAGGATTGAGCTTTTTACGTATACTTCTGTATGGATTCTACTTCTTTCTCAGCTATGACTATGTTATTTGTGAATCGATAAGGAAATGTTCTCACAAGCAGAAATGTGTCTCTGATGACTGTGGGGAGACTGGAGGAATTGGGTAACGTCCATCTGTAGCCTCTGTTGGGTAGTTGTTGCTCAGATGCTGATTCCAACAACCAAAGCTAACAAGATATTTTAAGACTTAAAAATTTTTTTAAAGTAATCTCTGCACCCAGTGTGCAGGCTCGAACTCAAAACCCCGAGATGTAGCATTACATGCCCTACCAACTTAGTTAGCCAGGTGCCCTTGTTTTGAGAAATTTAAATATGGCATAGGTGTCAGGTTTGTAGAAATCAATGAAGATCACTCCCAAATGAGAATGAGCAAATATTTATTCTCTTTTTATGTGTGTGTGTGTGTTTTTGTTTGTTTAATTCTCAAGTTAGTTAATATATAGTGTAGTCTTGGCTTCAAGAGTAGAATCGAGTGATTCATCACTTATATATGACATCCAGTGCTCATCCCAACAAGTGCCTTCCTTAATGCCCATCACCCATTTTCCCCATCCCCATCAACCCTCAGTTTATTCTCTGTATTTAAGAGTCTCTTATAGTTTGACTCCCTCTCTCTCTCTCTCTCTCTTTCAATGTTTATTTTTGAGAGAGAGTGTGAGCAGGGGAGGGGGAGAGAGAGACACACACAGAATCTGAAGCAGGTTCCAGACTCCAAGCTGTCAGCACAGAGCCCGATACGGGACTTGAACCCACAAACTTAGCTGAAGTCTGACGCTTAACCGACTGAGCCACCCAGGCGCCTGTGCTTTCCTCTCTGTTTTTATCTTATTTTTCCTTCCCTTCCCCTATGTTCATCTGTTACATTTCTCAAATTCCACATATGAGTGAGGTCATTCTCTGACTTATTTCACTTAGTACAATATACTCTAGTTCCATCCACGTTGTTGCAAATGGCAAGATTTCATTCTTTTTCATCATTGCTAGTATTCTGTTGTATAAATATACCACATACTCCTTATCCATTCATCCATCGATAGACGTTTGGGCTGTCTCCATACTTTGGCTACTGTTGATAGAGCTGCTATAAACATTGGGGTGTATGTGCCCCTTGGAATCAGCACTCCTGAATCCTTTGGATAAATCCCTAGTTGTGCACAGGGGTCACAGGGTAGTTCTGTTTTTGATTTTTTGAGGAGCCTCCGCACTTTTCCAGAGTGGCAAATATTGATTCTTGCTGTAGCGAGACAGCCCGCGTCGATAACCGACTGAGTTTGTCAAGCCAGGGAGCTGACAGCTTTATAGAAGGAAAAAGGAAATCCCAGGATATGCCCTGATTGGAGACTGGTTGACACGGGAAGGAGGGATACTCGCCACGCGGTTCGTGGTGGGCATATTTGGCTTTGTCTGGCTGGTGAAGGTGAGGGTGCTGGCAAAGATGAGGGGAGCTGTCCAGCCCTTCTGGGCTGATTGCTGCGCAGCTTGTGGTTTGGTTTCCTGGTTATGGGTCAAAGCTCTCATGTATGTTCTGGCTCCTGTCTGGATTCATCTGTCGGGCTACCCCAGCGCCTCTCAACCTGGCACAATTGACGCTTGGGGCTGGATAACTCTTCCTGGGGCGGGGAGGTCTGACCTGTGAACTGTGAGCTGCTCAGCGTCCATTTGGGTACCTGCCAGTGGCACCCTCCTCCCCTCCAGTGTGACAGCCAAAAAATGTCCCCGGGTGCTGCCAGATGTCACCAGGTGCGCAGAACCGGCTCCTGGTTGAGAAGCGCTGTGTTAAACGAGGATTCCTTGGGCTGTGCACAATGTGCATGAATTTCATCGATGGAAGCCACCCAGAAGGGTTCCCGCAGAATGATTCAATCACGTGATGTTTAGGACCAGGCAAAAGTCAAACCAGCCGTTCCTTCTGGGGCCTGGGTGTCATTGATGGCTTAGGGCAGGCAGCCGGGGGGGAGTAGCGCAGCACCTGCTGGAGGGGTGGTCTCTGGCCAGGAAGAGAATGAGAGGGTGGGCGCAGGCCTCCTAAAGCCAAGTCTGCCCCAGGAGCATGTCAGCTGTCGACGACGAGGTGCTAGTTGGTGGGGGAGCGCACATTGTAAGGTGGGGAGCGTTGTCTCCTGGCCCGGCTGAGGGCACCCTGGTTCTGAAGTTCAGGGTGGACTAGAGATGTCAGAGCCCCGACACTCCCCCTCCCCCCTGCCCCGACAACCTGAGGACACCTTTATGGGACAGGTGGGCAGCCTTACGGCATCTCCCTGCACGGGAGTGCCAAGGTCAGGTCTGACACAAATGTGCATGATCCTGCAGCCTCCGAATCTCACGTGTTCCTGACAAAGCATAGTTAATGGGATCATCTTGGGCTCTTTCAAAGATGCTGTGAGCACAGGGAGGGGGCAGGGAGGAAGGAAGCAGAAGGCCTGAGAATTTCCTTGGAAGGGCCTGTGGTGTTTAGTAGGTGGAGAAGAAAAAAAAAGATAGAAAAATGGAGGACGGGGGACTGGAGATATTTGGGTGTTCAGGACATAAAATAATGGCTGGGAAGGTGACCAAAAAAATAAATTAGAAAGAAAAATAAACCAATTTCCTACCTAATGATGTTGACTAAATCTTAGTAGTGGAATGATGGTGAAGAAGAAACAAAATCACAAAATCAAGACAGAAGAAGCAGGAAAAAAGGTGACTGTCTTTTTACTAGTCCCATATATACACACACACATATATATATGTATATGTATATACACAGGTATATTTATATACATTTTTATATAAATCTTTATTGAGATATCATTAAAACATTTTTTCTCCAGCTTTACTGAGATATAATTGATACATTAACATTGTGCAAGTTTAAGGTGTGCATGAAGGTGTTGATTTGATGCGTTTACGATTGCAAAATGATGACCACTGTGGCATTAGCTGACGTTGCCATGTGGACACGATTGTTTCTTTTTTGTGGTGTAGATAATATTACACTTCCATGTCTTCTAGTGACTTAATACATCCAGGTAGGCACCATCCTAATTAAGACAAGAAACATCATTATCCCCATTCAGTTTCACTGCCTCTCTTTCCGCTTCATTCCACCACATGGGCATTGGCATTTTGTGTCTTTTTTTTGGAGCATCATGGTTTTGAAGCATGTCCATGTTGTGTAGCTCTTGTATCTGTCGCTTGTTTGGGCATTGTTGCAAATCATGACAATATGTGACTTTGTGTCTAGCTTCTTTCATTAGGTTCTTTGTGGTGATGTGGAACGGAAGGGATTAGATGTGAAGCCTGAGGAAAGAATCTGAGATTCCTAAATGGGACAAAGGGAGTAGATGTTAGGATCTTGGCAGCAGCCAAAGTGGACTATTGTGTGGCCAACAGAATGGCCAGGGAGAGCCTTCAAATTGGGGCATATGCGGAGTTGGAAGGAAGGTATTGGATGTTCTGTGTAAACCAGGGAGGTAGGGTAGGTGCCGTTAGAGGATCCTGGAAGTGCCTCCATATTTCTCTGGGAAGAACTGGTCTTGAGGTCCACCCCAGCGAATTGCTCTGGTTCTTGTTTTTGCTGCATATGCCTGCACTGGGCTTTCTTGAGTTTTGCTCTGTGGTTCTTGAACCAGACCTAAGGAGAAAAGAGGAGCAATGGGTTGGTGAGTCCAAAGGAGATTCCACATGTTTTCATTTTACCCGATACAATGGACAGTGCTAGGTGAGAACAGCTAGCTGGACCAGTCTGCCACCCAGATCCAAGTACTGGAAACTCTCCCAACCTATGGGAAAGGAAGCAGAAATGAGAGGTGGTAGGGACAGAAAGTGAGGCGGGCGTCAAAACACCCAGGGCAGGAGAGACTGATGTCAGCACACTGAGGCCAAATCTGACCTGCAGCTGTTTTTTTGTATGATGCATAAAGTAAGAACAGGGTTGTTGGTGTGTGCATGTGTTTTAAGTTTTTATTATTTGTTTAAATAATCCCTACACCCTTCACGGGGCTTGAGCTCACCACCCTAGAACAGGAGTTGCACACTGTTCTGAGCCATCCAGGTGCCCCTAAGAACAGGTGTTACATCTTTTAACATTTTATGCGAATGCAGGCACATCCGTTCGTTTACATATTGCTGATGGCTGCTCTCACGCTATCCCTGCAGAGCTGAATAATTTGGGCAAACGTGACGTGGCCCACAAAGTCTAAACTCTTTGTTGCCCGGCCCTTTATGGAAGAAAATTTTTGCTGATCCTTGCTCTAGGGGTTGGGATGGAGGGATTCAGGGTAAGAGTCTGGGTCTGTAGAATTGGGAATTATCCTAGGGTCTCTGAATTTAGGATATTCCAGGGAGGTGGCGTGGCAACCTGCAGCACTGTTGGATGCATGTCCAGTTTCGAGGCCATCTCCTTTTGAAGGTTGGGAGGGGGGTACGGGTTCTGACTGAACAAGAATTCCAAGGCTTCCAGTTGGTCCTCAGTGAACATTGTTCGTTTCCTTTGTGAATGCTTCTGCTGTTTTCCTGGGAAGGGGAGAAAGGCACAGATGAGGGGTTAAGACAATTCTGTCCTCAAAAACCTGAACTCCCCTCCCTCTCCAGAGGCCAAGCCATATATCGATACATGGCGTGGATGACTCTGGTTACGTTTCCTGAGCTTCATTTTGTCATGGCTGCTCTTCCACATACTCGGCATAGGAAAAGGTTATATATTTGTTTATTTTTTTAAGTATCTGTAAAAAAAAATTTAATGTTTTTTATTTATTTTTGAGAGAGAGAGAGAGCACAAGCAGGGAGGGACAGAGAGGGAGACACAGAATCCAAAGCAGGCTCCAGGCTCTGAGCTGTCAGCACAGAGCCCAACACATGGCTTGAACTCATGAACTGTGAGATCATGACCTGTGCTGAGATCGGACACTCAACAGACTGAGCCACCGAGGCACCCCTTGAGGATTTTGTTTTTGAGTAGTCTACATAGAATGTAAAGCTTGAACTTAAAACCCTGAGATCAAGAGTCACACGCTGTACTGACTGAGCCAGCCAGGTGCCCCTGGAGAGGGTTATTTAAAATAAGGATATTAGGGCGCCTGGGTGGCTCAGTGGGTTAAGCATCCAACTTCAGCTCAGGTCTTGATCACACGGTTTGTGAGTTTGAGCCCTGCGTCGGGCTCTGTGCTGACAGCTCTGAGCCTGGAGCCTGCTTTGGATTGTGTCTCCCTCTCTCTCTCTCTGCCCCTCTCCTGCTCGCTCTCTGTCTCTGTCTCTCAAAAAGGAAATAAACATTTAAAATATAATAGCATAAAATAGTAATTTAAAAAAAAGGATTCCTTGTGTGTCAACTCCTAGATTTTGTGTGGGGGTGGGTGGGTGGGTGGGTATAAGAGGAAATCTCTGTACTTTCTGCTCAGTTTTGCTGTGAAACTAATACTGCTCCAAAAATAGTTGATTAATGATCAAACATTGTTGCTCTCATGGATTTCATTTAGTGAAGACACAGATATACACAAACTAAAAGACACACGTACTTTATGTAGTGTTAATAAGTACCCTCTCTGTAGAGGAGGAAAATTCAGAACAGGGAGGATAAGGAATTTGGGTGGGAGGTTTTAGTTTTAATGACCTATGAAGGAAGGTCTGTCTGGGTGAGGTGAGGGTGTGAGCCATGTGCTTATCTGCAGGAATAGAAATGCAGACAGAGGGAACAGATCCTTGAGGAATAATAAAGAGATGAGTATTCTTGCATAGAGAAGACAAGTGGACAGGTGTTGAGAAATTAGTCCATGTTGGAGGGGAGCAGGTCATGCAGGGTCCTGTCGGGGAGGTGGGCCGAGTGAGTGGGTCATCTGGCTCCTGTAGAATCTAGCGCTTCTGGGTTCCCTGAGCTCAAGACGTTATCAGGAGAACAGACAGTCTTAGGGGTCACTGGGTCTCCAGCACCTGGACTGATATTTCCGTAGGTTTGAGATGAGGGCATCCAGTGACCTTAACACACACATTTGCTTCTTCAGGGTTCAGAAGTTTCAAGTGTAGTTGGAGATGACTAAAGTTCCTCTCACAGGCTACTGAGGATTAAATTAGGTCATGTCTGTGAAATGCAGGACTTAACATATCATGAGGCTTCAAGGAACCTACTGAATCTCACACACAGTATATTGATGTCATTCTCCCATGCACACACGGCGCTTTCAACATGGTCCTGGTGTTACCGCCTTTGTCTACTTCCATCCAACATGGCACCCAACTTGGTCGGTGTGGCCAGGAGGGCACAGAAAATACTGTGGGATGTCACTTCTGAGCTTATGAAAGCCTCTGTGCCTTCTGTCTAGGACACTTTCTCTCTTTTGGATCACTTGTTCCAGGGGAAACCGTATTGAACATCCCGAAGGCAAGGCCCTCTTGACAAGGATCTGAGGTCTCCAGATGAAAGTCAGGGGCTGAGGCCTCCAGCCAACAATGTGAATGGGCCCTCTTGGAACTGGATTGATCCTCCAAGTTCAGTTACGCCTTAGATGACTGCATTCTTTGTTGACAGCTTGATTCCACTATGCATTTTTAACAGTGTTATTGAGATATAGTTGATGTATAATAAACTACATAATTAAAGTGTACAATCTCATAAATTTTGATATATGTATATTTACACGCTCATGAAATGCATAAATGGATTTATCCTCAGTTTCCTATGATCCCGTTCAAAGTCATCCACCTGATAATCTCAGGTCATTGTGGACTTGACTCCATACTAGTTAAGGACAATAAGAAAAGATAAATACATCAAGAGCTAGAAGGTTTTATGTCAAAGGAACTTATCAGACTGTATGTGTTAAATATGTGAAGTTTATTATATGTCAACTATATCTCATTAAAGCTGTTAAAAAAATTATTTTAGGAGCCAACTTGATTATTTATGTTTATAGGACTCTATACTCAACAATAGCAGAAATTAAGTATTCTTTCCAGTGCATATGGAACATTCATCCGGTAGAGTATATTCTGGGCCCAAAACCAAGTCTGAAAAAATTTTAAATGATTTAAATCCTACAAAATATGTTCTCTGAACATAGGAGTTAAGATAGAAATATGTAAAAATAACTGTAACATCTCTCTCCCAGTGTCTGGAGATTAAACACATTTCTGAATCAAACAGGGGACAAAGAAGAAATCAAATGGTATTGGGTCAACTGGGTATCTGTATAGGGAAAAAACGAACTTCAACCTTTGTCTTGAACCATATGCAAAGAATGAACTACGGGTAGATTTCAGACATAAACATAAAGCCTAACTCTAAAACTTCTGCAAGAAAACAGAATCTTTTGAGTCCTTGGGTCAGATAAAGGTGTCAAGAGCACAGAGTATAAAAGTAAAAAAATCAGTGAACTGGGGTTCATGAAAAGTAAAAAGTTTTCTCTTCAAAAGACTGCATTAAGAAGATGAAGAGGCAGTGGGGGCCCCTGGGTGGCTGTCAGTGAAGTGTCCAACTTTAGCTCAGGTCATGATCTCATGGTTCATGGGTTCGAGCCCCATGTCTGGCTCTGTGCTGACAGCTCAGAGCCTGGAGCCTGCTTCAGATTCTGTGTCTCCCTTTCTCTCTACCCCTCCCCTGTTCGTGCTCTGTCTCAACCATAAATAAATGTTAAAAAAAAAAGAAGAAGAAGAAGAAGAAGAAGAAGAAGAAAGAGGGGAGCACATAATGGAAGAAAATATTCTTAAAACATGTGTCAGACAAATTCATATCCAGAATATACAAAGAATTCAATGACTTGACAATTCTGTTCCTAGGTACATTCCTAGGTATGTTAGAGAAGTAAAAATATCCATGTGAAGGGGCACCTGAGTGGCTTAGTGGGTTAAATGTCTGCTTCGACTCAGGTCATTATCTCGCGGTTCATGAGTTCAAGCCCCATATCGGGCTCTGTGCTGACAGCTCAGAGCCTGGAGCCTGCTTCAGATTCTGTGTCTCCTTCTTCCTCTGCCCCTCCCCCACTCATGCGCTTGCTCGCGCGCTCTCTCTCTCTCTCTCCCCCTCCCTCCCTCCCTCTCTCTTTCAAAAATAAACATTAAGGGGCGCCTGGGTGGCTTAGTCGGTTAAGCGTCCGACTTTCGCTTAGGTCATAAACTCGCGGTTCGTGGGTTCAAGCCCCGCATCGGGCTCTGTGCTGACTGCCAGCTCAGAGCCTGGAGCCTGTTTCAGAGTCTGTGTCTCCTTCTCTCTCTGACCCTCCCCTGCTCACGCTGTCTCTCTCTCTCTCCTAGAAATAAATAAAAATTAAAAAAATTAAAAAAAAACAAAAACAAAAACAAAAATAAACATTAAAAATCTAAAAAAAATTATCCAGGTGAAGGCTAGTATGTGAATGTTCCTGCCAGTTTTATTCATAATAGCCAAAATTTTGAGATTAAAAAAAAAAAAATCTTACTCATTGTCAAGTAACAGATAGCCAAATTATGTTGTATCCATACAGTGGAATAGCGCTTCTCTGTGAAAAAAGAATGAGCCACTGATACAACACAAATGTACTCCAGCAACATGCTGAGCAAAGACAGATACACACAAAAGAGCACATACTCTGCATCTTGATTTATGTGCAGTCCTAGGCAGGAAAGCAGATCACGTGGTGCCTGGGGCTGGTGGTCCAGGTGTGGTGTTGTGTGTTGGGATGAGGTTGGGAGATGATGCCCACAATAGGATGTGAACTTTTTTAGAGTGATGGGGGTGTTCTGTGTTTCCATCGGGGTGGTGGTTCATAGGCATATACACTTGATGTGCAAACTTACTTTAAGTGTACACTTGAAAATGGGTAGACTTTATTATAAATTGCACATCAACAAAGTTGATTTTTAACCCAAAAAAGAAAATTGTAACAATTCAGGGAGTAAAGCCATCTTGCCACACTTTGTGAAAGTTATATATTAAATCCCTCTAGTGAACATTGTACTTAATGGAAAAATGCGTGCATTTCTTGGAGTCAGGAACACAACAGGGGTATTTGTAAGCACCATGACAGTGTAATCTAGTTCCATTATAAGGAAAGACAAAAATGTGTAAGATCAGAAGAGAAGAGATAAAACAGATTCTTTGTAGGTAGTTTTTACTAGAAAAGCCAGCAGAATCTGACAGGTAAGGCTTTTAGAGCTATTGAGAGTTAAGCAGCCTTTCTAGGTAGATGACCTGTAACATTTCTCTCTACCAGCCACGTTCAACTGGAAACAAAACTGGGAAAGAAAAAGTCGACATTCACAAAAGCAACCCAAAACTCCAAGATACCTACAAATTAACAGAGGACAAAAGATCTCAAAGGACTTCAGTGGGAAAGTCACAGCTTCAAACCATTTGAGGACACCTTCTGATCTTTATGATCTCTCAGTAGGGAAGGATTTTGAGATAACATCAGCAAACCATGAAAGAACAAAAGATACGTTTGACTACCTTATAATCAAGAAATGGTATTCAAAGTTTCCTTAACAGAGTGAAACAAAGTGGAAGAAGAT